GCTCCTGAGACCCTGCAGAGAGGCGTCTTGGTGACCTGACACAGTTGCTCCGTTTCCCACGGGCCCTTTCTTTCCGGGTCCCTTTTCTAATGACCGAGTTTTACCCAGTTCTGTTCTTCTGAGTTCTCAGAAACATTAAGATGTGGTCTCCTGTGCTCTGGAGCTATCTCTCTTCCAGCAGGACAGCTGTAAACTTGAGTTTCTCTTGGGTTACTAAATGTTAGAGGGGTTGGGAATGCATCAGGCTGAGTTCTTGCAAAATGCCCAGCCTGATCTTCCTACTAAAAAGGATGTCAACTCCAAACTCATCCCATGGACTACCACCTTCCCTGGGAGTACTTCACAAATATCTGCCACACCTCTGGCTTTGCTTTCTTGTGGATTTTTACACAGAATCCATTCTTATTTGGGTCTTCCCAGGCCTAAGGAAAAAAATACCTGCACTCTCTGGTGTTTTGACGCGAACCGCCTCTAACCAGCAATGACCACGACCACGGAGCTCTTCTTGCGAGCAGTTTATTTAGGACCTTTGCTTCTCTCTCGCTTCTCTCCCGTTTCTCTCTGTCCCGGGGCAGACCTCTCCCAGCCCTTATATATAACCATATAGGCTATGGTCGCCTATCCCGGAGTGCCACGTGGACATTGCCCATAGGCTCAAGCATATTCAAGCGACACACGATCATAGCAGATCATGGGCCATCACCATAAAAGGAGTTGTTTATCACAGAGAGCGCTTGCTTTCTTAAAGGCACGGTTCCACGCAGCTCTCTACAGTGTTGGGTTTTTTTTTTTTTTTTTTTTTTTTTTTTGCTCTAGAGGCAGTAGCACCTGGGAGAATGGAGCCAATAAATCAGGCAGACTAAAGTCTCACACAACAGCCAACTTTATTTGGATCATCAGGTAATTTATACACTGAGAGTTGGGTAGAGTCACATGAATAAAGAGTACAGTCACAAGGACAAGCTGCACGTGGTGGGGAAGCATGTGGCAGACCACCCACACGTGGTAGACAAGCCCCATGTGGAATTCATACATGGCAAAAACATGTTTTTCCATAGAGGCAAATAAATAACAATTCCCAGTTGTAATGAATAATCTGAACTAGACTCACTCTTATCTGCTACACCTGGAAGGAGCACAAGAACACATCCCAAGAACAATTTTGTGTTTGTGAAGAAACTGAAGTCACAAGACTCTTATCTTCTTGGAGTTTTCTCACAAGCACTCAGAACTCTTCTCACATGACTCCTTTCTTAGACTGTGTCCAGCATCTAGGTACCTCTCTTCATGGACATTCAACTTGCCAAAGCCAGCTCTGAGACTTGCGGTCTTTAAAAAGTGTTCTGTACTATATTCATTGTTTTTCTTGTTACTGTGTCCAAATATTTGACAAGAAGAGACCTTAGAACTAAAGGGTTTGGTTTGGCTTACAGTTCGAGGAGAGACAGTCTGTTATAGCCTGCGTGTTCTAGTTAGCCTCTCTGTTGCTGTGATACACATCATGATCAAAACATATTGGGCAAGAAGGGGTCTAATCTGACTTTCCTGCTAGAGTCCACCATTGAGGGAAGCTGAGTCAGGAACTGAAGCAGAGACCAAGGAGGAACTCTGTTTACTGCCTTGCCCAGAACCACCTGCTCAGGGACATCCCACAGACTTGTCCACAGGCTTATCTGGTGGAGGTGGTTCCTCAGCCGAGGCTCCCTCTTCCCAAATGTGTAGTGTAGAACTCTAAAATAACTGTGAGGCCTCTCAGCCTTAGTGCTTCCCCCCTCCCCTGGGAACCAGGACTCTAACAATTACCCACACACGTACAGAAATGTTGGAAACTTTCCATCTCCCCGAGTCTTTGTGAATGTTCTCCAGATAGAATTCAGTTATTAAAATTGGGACAAGATAACCCTTAAGATGTTGACTCAGTTCCCGATGTTTTGACTCAGTCCCTGGGAAAGGGTCAAAGTAACCCTCAAATGTTTCCTCTTACCTGATCTGGCAACCGCCCTCCAGTCCGGGCTTGGACCAATTATTGTTAATAGTCCTTTGAATAAGCCAATCCCAATAGTTGGAAAACAACCCCTGAGTCCCCCCCCCCTGTTTCTATGGCCTTTTGCTTTAAAAGTAGCCTGTACGAGCTATTCAGGGTCCTTGGCTTGAATGCTGAGTGACCCTGTCACGACAGAATTAAAATCCTCATGCTTTTACATCAACTGTGGTGTAAGAGTGTTTTCTTGGGGAGACTCCTCCTCAGTATTGGACTCTAGGGTCCAACAGTAGCACGAATTCTAGTTGGTATTAATAAAGAAAACCCAGAGTCAGATATTAGGGGGTAAAAGCTGAGGGATCAGAGAAGCAGTGTGGCCAGCCACCAGAGAGACCTTTTACCTCTACTAATGCTCAGCCTAAAGGGATGATTCTGTCCTCAAATTGTCTCTTCAGACTTTGTCTTCCGACAGCAGAGGTGATCCTCAGACTGCAACTGTCTCCACCAAACCTCAGACTGCACTGAGCTCCTGGCTTCTCCACTTTATATTCTTCTCTCCACCCAGTTATGCCACCTCCCCACTGCTGTGATTAAATGTGTGGGATCCCAAGTGCTGAGATCACCTTTGCGTGAACTCTGTTTCTCTTTTAGACTGATTCACTCTTAAGTACCCCTAGGGTGGCCTTGAACTAACAGAGATCCCTCTGCCTCTGCCTCTGTCTCTGAGGCCTGGGATTAAAGGTGTGTGCCACCACACCCTGGCCTCTAGTGGCTTAGCTCTGCACTCTGATCTTCAGACAAGTTTTATTTGTTAAAACATAAAATACCACCACACAAATGACTCTAAACCACAAAACAATAGCCCCTAAAAGAAAAAAAAAACAAACGCAATAGCCAGCACTGTAGAGAAGGCAAAGCTGGTCACATTATGTCTGCAGGGAGAGAGGCAAGTTGTCACCTTGGCATAGTTTAACTATGTAAAGCTGTGTTACAGTTGTTTATGCTGCAGAATGTTACTTTAACTATGTGAAGGTGTGTTACATTTGTTTCTGCTGCCTTTGTTAATGATGTAAATATGTGTTACATTTGTTTGGGATGCATTTGTTTAATTAAGCAAAGATGTGCTACATTTGTTTCACCTTGCCTGCCTAAGGCACATGATTGGTCTAATAAACAGCTGAACACCCAGTAGCTAGACAAGAAAGGGATAGGCATGGCTGGCAGGTAGAGAGAATAAATAGGAGATATCTAGGCAAGAGAGAGAAGAAGAAAAGGAGGAGAAAGAGGGGGACACACCCAGGGCCAGAAGCCAGGCAGCTGCCAACCAGACAGACATAGAGACAGTAGGAAGACAAAACATATAAAAAGAAAGGTAAAAAGCCCTGAGGCAAAATGTAGATAAAGAGGAACAGACTTAAATAAGAACTAAAATAAAGCCGAGTATTCAGAACGAATAGGGAAACTCTGTGTTATGATTTGGGAGCTGGTGGGTAACCCAAAAGGAAAGGTTGGTCCAGTCACTGGCTTTCTCCTTTTTATGCCATCTGAGACCCCAACCCATGAGATGGTACCACATCTATTTAGTGTATGTCTTCCTCCTCCAGTTAACCCAATAGAGGAAACACCCTCATAGATGTACCCAGAGGTTTGTCTTGTGAGTCCAGATTCTGTCAAGTTGACAGTCAATATTAACCATCACAACTAAAGGACACACTCAGTGATCACCATTCACACAGTGGTCAGCCTAGAGCACCTCTGGAAAGCTGATGCTTTTAGATAACCTTTCATCCCAGTTGTACTAAGCTCACTAAACCAGTTCAGCTGAGGCATCTGAACCACAGGGCCCTGGCTCTAGAATACAGAGACCTCTCTGCTCCATGTCCCCAACAGGGAGCAATGAGGTCTGAAGGAATTTGATATCTGGCTCAAAGGTTATCATCCCTCTTCCATGGTTTCTGTGCCAGGTGTTTCTTATGGAGAGGGATATTTGACCCTGAAGTGGGAGCCACAGCTGTTCTTCTGAAGCCGGAGCTGCAGTGAGTGGCTTTGGGTATCTCCTGAGTCTCTCAGCCCTCCCGGGGAGAAGCTCTTTGGTTTCACCTTCAGAGCTTCTGTGATTCCGAACACGCTCATTTGGTGGATCCCTGAAAACCAGGCAAGGGGGATTAGGACTCATACCTAGTTCTCAGTATCCCTCTCCAATGGTCAGCTGTGTAAAAATAGAGGGGGCAGGGATGAGAAAGCCACCCTGGAGAGAAGGTGAATGGGTCACACAACACCATGCCCCCCTGGACCTACTAGAGGTTAAAGACCATGAAATTGGTTGGTAGTGTGGGGGGAGGTGTCTCTAGCCACAACCCCTAGAGCTGCTTACAGACCAGAAGTGCCTGGTCACAGTAACACCATTGGGGTGTGCTTTGATGTCCATGTGTCTATGTGGTATGTGGTATGGTTTTTCTGATGTGTCCACACGGCTCATCCTATCACACGCTGCTTGGGTTCAAAGGTTGCTCGTTGTAATCAGTAGCCCATACCCCCAACCCTTTGCCCTTGAACATATCCAGGATTGGCTCACTACTTCCACTTGCAGAAGCATGGCTGGATGTGACTGGAGAAATCTCCCCTCATTACCAAGTTCATGACCTAATGGGAAGTGAGTGCTTAGGTGTGAACATTGTGTTAAAAGTCTTTTGTCTTAGCATTGATGTGATGAAATTCTCTGACAGAGCAATGTAAGGGAGAAAGGCTCACAGTTCCAGGTTACAGACCATCAGGGTTGGGGAGGTCGCAATGGCCAAGCTTGAGGGAGATGCTCACATTGCATAGGTAGCTAAGACAGACAGGGTAGACACGCCATGCAGAGTGAGGTTGGATATTTATTTAGTAGGTTATGGGTGGGGAAGGGGAGAAGGGGGAAGAGCAGAGAGAGGCAGAGAGAGAGAAACAGAGGGGAAAGCGGGGAGAAGTGGGGAGAAGAGAGAAAGGCAGAAGTTGCCTCTTAGGGAGAGAGCTGGAAAGGAAGGGACTCAGGCTGGAAGGAAGATCTGCTTGCCTCAGTGGAGGTGGGGGAGTTTGTCTCTTAAAGGGACAGGACAGACCATTACAGTAATGAATTCATGCTTGATAGTGCTCAGTAACTTTTCTCTCTGCTTTATACAGTTCAGGAGCCATGCTATCCATACTAGATAGGCCTTTCCACCACAGTCAGCAATCACAATTCCCATCCAGGCGTGCTCAGAGGTCCTGAGCCTAGATCTTACCAAACTGATAATTAACACTAATCTTCACATAGTTCTTGTGCACCAGTGTTGACCAGAGTATCCACAGGCAACACCAAGCTAAAGGCTGAGTGCTTGCAGGCACTGTGCTTGTGCTCCCACAAAGCCACTTGGAGTCACCCCTCACCTACGGGCCTCACGAGTACCTTCGATTTTCTTACAAACAAATCCTTTCTGGCTGAGCCTGGGGACAGGGTGGAGGTGTAGGCTGCTACCAGACACCCAAGCGGATACTTTTCTGCTTTTTTTGGTCAAAAGTCAGCAGAGGCTGGGCTTAGAGCCCCTCAGGGGACACTCAAGGGCGCCTCCTTAAGCCTCCTAGGACAGTTCTGGCTAGATTCTGCCGAGGACACAAGGGCGCCCCACCCTTCCTGCAGGCCTGCCTCTGTCCACTCCATAAAAGAGTAGGGAAGAAGTCACAGCCTTTCCTTTGTACACAGCCTGCCAAACCTCCACTTCCTGTCAGCTCTTCCCACATCCTGAAGCTGCTTAGTTCTGTGGACAAAACAGTAAAAGCTGATGTCTCAGTCAAGTGGCTTGTGAGTGAAGTCACAGCATTTGACCACCGCAGATTGTAGGGCAGTCAAGACCATAGGGTGAGGCCATCTCAAAAACAGAACAAGCCAAGAAAACACCAACCTGTCTTTGCCACCGAGGAGCAGCAGGGTTCAAGGCCAACTGGCATCTCCTGGCTGTCTCTCCAGGTTCCCCTGAATCTGTCTCCTCTTTCCTCACCTCTATCAGCTGCCCGCCCCTCCTCTGTCCAAGTCCCAACCTTGCCTGTAAGCCTCTCTAGACGAGCCCCTCCCACCCAGAACTGGGAAGGGCATGAACGAGCAGAGCTTGATTGAATGATATTAGTAACGCATTCCTTTCATCCTTTCTAAGAAAGGGCATCACAGCCTGAACGCTGGGCTATACACTCTATCTTTGTCTTCTTTCCACTAAACCACACTAGGAGTCTTGTTGAGTATTTTGGTGTTGGTGCTGGGACTGACTCCAGGGCCTCTGGCATGCCCTGTACCCCTATGCATTGCTGTTGGCAATCCAACAATGATGCCTATATTCTCACGTGGGCAAACGGGTAAACGCAGACGCCAAAACTGTGTTTGCTCTTTGTGCTGACAAGTAATACATTTGTTTCAAGATACCAAGGCTATAGTTTCTCTATTTGCAGAGAACCAGTTTATACGATTCAGCTAGATTTACAACTTCACTTTGAGGAAGTCTGGATGGATGAAGGAGAGCACTTTGCTTGGAGGGTCCGGAGGCAGCCTCCAGGGAAAACCCGTGCACTGTGACCAGGTGAGGTCCTAGAGAGAAGCCTCAACATTAAGCCTGGAGTCCTCGCTGGGCCTGGGTTCCTCACTCCGGGTTACCATTTAATATTCCCACCCCTCTCCCACCAACCTGTTTGTTCGGCTTTGGTGCCTCACATTTGCAGAGGCAAAGTGACTGGCAATGTCCGGAAGGTGGCGCTAGGTGCATTGAGACAGATTCAGCAGCATCGTGGACCTGCGCGGAAGCTTCCTGGTATCCCTGACATCTGATATATCTACTCCGGGCGAAATCACCCCTCGGAAGGGGACTTTCAGGAGGCTGAAGATGTGCAGATGGGGCGGACTCACCTTCTGGGCCAAGAAGACCCGAAGCAGTTCCCAGAGTTTCCGGGGGTACCCACTCCTGGAGGTGTCCGCCGCTGGGCTGAAACCAAACACAGAGAGCGCGAAGTGATCCTTAGAAATCAGATGACGTGGGTACTGGTTGCTCAACTATTCCATTCAAGTTCTTGAGTTCTACCACAGACGTTGAGGTTGAAAGATTGCCTCCCCTCACCCTTTTTTTGTATCACTGCAACTGATTAACTGGAGAACTTCAAGTACTGGGGTCCATGGCCCAGTTACCATACAGGACCCCAAGGAAAGGGGAAGAATATTCTTCTGCCACCTAGGCACCCTATCCCTTTCTCAGAATACCTGCCCACCTAATTCTCGCCAGCCTAACTCCAACCATCGTCACGAGGAAACTCTAAAGCACACACGCAGACACTGCTGCCCCACACTAACGCCCCGTCGCTGGTCCATACCAACTCTGAGACTAGCGTGTGAACATCTTGGGATGACGTGAGAGACAATATGACCCGGACAGAACTGCTCCTGGCTGTGGACTATACCTGTCACGGGGACAAGACATTCCAGTTAAATGAGTCAGTAGGAGAGACAGGGACACTCTGTGACCCTCAGATTTTTTAACCAGTGGGGGCTTACTTACAGTCTCGGAAGGTTGGTCTGTCATCATCGTGGTGGGAAGCAGGCAGACATGGCGCTGGAAGTGAGGCTGAGAGCTTTATATCCTGATCTGCAGGTAACAGGAAGAGAGCTAGACATTGGGCCTGGCGTAGGCTTCTGAAGCCTCAACCCCTACTCCGGGTGGCATACCTCCTCCAAGACCACAGCCGCTGAGCAGGGCCACACCTCCTAGTCCTTCCAAACAACTTGTCAGCTGGGGCCGAGGCATGTATGAATGAGGCGTCCTCATTCAGCCCCCAACACTCGCGGTGCTGGCTGGTCTATGTCAGCTTGACACAGCTGGAGTTATCTGAACGGGGGGAACCTCAATTGAGAAAATGTCTCCAAAATTCCAACTATAAGGCATTTTTTAAACTAGTGATTAATGGGTTAGGGCCCAGTCCATTGTGGGTGGTGCCATCCCTGGGCTTTCTATAAGAAAGAAGGCCGAGTAAGCCATGAGAACAAGCCAGTAAGCAGCTTCTCCAAAATTCCAGCTATAAGGCATTTTTTAAACTAGTGATTAATGGGTTAGGGCCCAGTCCATTGTGGGTGGTGCCATCCCTGGGCTTTCTATAAGAAAGAAGGCCGAGCAAGCCATGAGAACAAGCCAGTAAGCAGCATCCCTCCATGGCCTCTGCATCAGCTCCTGTCCCAGGTTCCTGCCCTGTTTGAGTTTCTCTCCTGACTTCCTTTGATGGTGAACCATGATATGAAAGTGTCAGTTGAATTAACACTTTCTTCTCCAACTTGCTCTTTGGTCATGGTGTTTCATTGCAGCAACAGAAGCCCTAAGACACCTTCCTTACCCCAAGGCCAACTCCATTGACCTAACCACTAAAGTTACAGCCCACGTTTCTCCTTCTACCAACTTATTTTTAGTCCTTCTTAAGACTACGTTAGAAGTCAAGAAAACGATTATTTAAGCCATATACATATATGTGTGTAGGTATTAAATGTCAATAAAGTCAAAGGAGAGGTGGATAACTGGGCCCTCTACGCCTTCCCTTCCTTGTCTGCAGCTCAGCCTTGCCCCTCCCTTGCAATTGAGCTTCCTCCGTAGAGGTCACAGAACTAGTGGTTGCTCTCCAAGCTCAGCTCCCTCACAGGAAACATGGCCTCACTAATGTTCTCTCCTCCTCCAGCACCTCGAGATGCCCTCAGTGGCCTCTGTCTCTATGCATCTTTGCTCAGACAGTTCTTTCTGCCCAGGATGCTTTCCTCTCCATCTCTGGTCACTGCCTGACTCTCTGACATGACCTAGCTCCATTATCACCTCCCCTGCATGGCCTCCATTCTACCACCTCAGTGCCCACAAAGCACTTTGGGGGCAATGTCTCCTGTGCGAGTCTCAGGCTGGGGCCCCGTGGTAGGTCACTGCTAGTCTTAAACTTCGCTATCTGAGTTGTGAGAAACAGTCACTCAGGAGTTCCTTCAAGTACGTGGGGTTGTGTAATAGGAACTTTACAATGAACAGTTTGCCTAGTTCTAGAAACAGAAAACACGAATACATCTCTGACCATTGTTTCCTTTTTCTATTGCTTCTGGGTGTATACGGTGGTGGGGGTGCCATGGTGCATGTATGAAGGCCATAGGACAGCTTCTATCCTTTCAAGGGATTGGTGTTCAAACTCAGATTACCAGGCTTGCCTAGAAAGTGTTTTTACCCACTGAACAATCTTACCAGGTCCCCTTTGACCACTGTTTCTAAGCAAGCATGCCAGGTTGTGCTGTCCTTTTTTGAAAGAGATTGTGAGTTTGCACTAGTGTGTGTGTGTGTGTGTGTGTTGTATAGTAATTTCCTATGAGATAACATTCCTCTTCGGTCTGGAGAGATGGCTCAGCAGTTGAGAGCCTTGCTGGCTCTGCAGAAGGCCTGGTTTCAATCCCCAGTACCCTCATGGTCTGTAACTCCACTTCCAGGGCTTCTGATGCCCTCTTCTGGCCTCTGCAGGCACTCCACTCATGTGTGGCACATACATACACAAAAGAAAAAAGCCAAAACTTTTAAATGCCATCTTGGAGGTATGCTCTTTAAGACTCGGGATATTCTAAAGGAAATAAAATGTTCAATCCTTCAGGGAAGCACCTTAAGACTCATGAAATAGACAAATCAGCAGCTTCAGGAAGTCACTGAAACAGACCAGATTCACTAGGTCCCTCCCTACCAAAGTGTCCCTGGATGATTTGAACTTGCTTTGTAGAGCAAGTAACCTTGAACTCACAGAGACCCGCCTGCCTCTGCCTTCTTCCTGCTAGGATTAAAGGCTCACGGTTTTGTGTATTTTGTTGAGCTTCCACACGAGGAAAATCGCCCACAGTCAAAACCAACAGAAGATATAACATCACTTAAAAATGAGCTATGAACAAGAATTTACTTTTTTAAAGCAAGGTCTTACTATGCAGTCCTGGCTGGCCTAGAATTCATTGTGGAGGCCAGGCTGACCTCAAACTCACAGAGAGCCACTTGTCTCCGCCTCCTGAGTTTCAAGATTGAAGACATGTGCCGTCATGCTCAGCTAAAAAACTGCTTTTCTAATCCTTACTTATACTGACAAGTGTGTAATTCAAAACTCCACCACGTGTGTGTATGATGGGGCAGGGTGTGCCATGATGTAGAGCTCAAAGAACAAATTTTGGGAGTCTATTCTGTCTTTCCACCTCTGCATGGGTTCTGGGGATTAATCTCATGTTGTCAGACTCGCATGGCAAGCTTCTTTACCTGCTGACACAGCTTACTAGCTGGTAAACATATAATTAAAAGAAAAATCAAAGCCCTATTGTTAGTCATGCACTGAATAATTTAGTGTTCCCTGCACCTTTTATAGCATGCTCTGTGTGCTGTATCTGAAAGGTACTGTGAGTTCTCAATTGAAACCCACAATAAGTTTATTATGTAACTCATCAAGCAATTCACAGAATAAATGATCTAAACACAAATTAGAAGTTAGCACTTAATGATATAATTATATAATAGAAATTGCTCATTATTAGGGCTGTGCTGTTATTAACAGCATCAACTGATCATTAGTAATGTAATATTTAACACGTTATTAATTGTATGTTTTGTATATTAAATACATATAAGTTCTCAGGTAAGATACTATCTACTGGGTTTTTGTTTAGAGACTTGGGTCTTTTTAAATCAATTTCAGAATCAGATAATAGGGGAATAAATGAAAGAGAATGAACTAAACAATTGGCTACATTTTTGCAAAAATGAATAGGATGGGGAGCAAAAGATACTGGGCTAGGATACAGATCGGCTGCTACTGTTTATGCCAAGCATAGCTTGAAAAAAAGCAGAAAAGCAAACAGGAGACTGAATTTTTTTCTATTCAAGTATTAGCATGAAACAGTAGCTGATGTCTATCTATAAAACATTATCTCTGAAATTTAACCCTTTGAGGCTAGGGATGTAGTTCAGTTGGTAAAAATAAATAGTTTATTTTATTTGCATGCCTGGCATATAAATATCAAGGTTTGATCCTCAGCACCAAATAAATCAGATGTGATGGCCTAATGATAGAAAATCATAGACCTGCTATTCCAGTACTCAAGAGGTAGAGGCAGGAGGATCAAAAGTTGAAAGTCACCCCCAGCTATATATGAAGTACAAGGCCATCCTGGGCTATATAAGATAGAAATAAAGGAAGGAAAGAAGGGAGGGAGGGAGGGAGGGAGGGAGGGAGGGAGGGAGGAAGGGAGGAAGGAAGGAAGACATTGTTCAAATTTACCATCAGTACAGGTAGGAGGTTTTCAGAAACAATTTATTCAAAAATTCTTGCCAATGCAGAACCCTTCCCCCATCAACATCTTACTTTAATAATTACCACCTTCTTCATATTCTAATTTCTTTAAGGATTGAAAAATGTATCAAGTAAAGACTGAAAACATGAGCAAGGCCTGGCGGGATTTATCACACACTCGATAAACAGAAGGCAGAGAGCATTTCAATGGCATGTTAAGAAATCAAGGTTGAAATATGGTATAATATATATAGACAGAGACAAACAAAATTGATGTGGAAATGAGAAATTGCATCGTGTGCACATTAGACATGATTCAGCTTTGACAAGGTAATGTCTAGGGAGAAGATTATCCAGGATAGAGGACAGCAGTTCACATTGTCTTCCTTTATGACACCCATCCAACATTTGATAACATAATGTCACATTGACACCAATGAATACTACATTAATTTTTTTGTTATTTTATTTTATGTATATGGAGGCTTTGCCTGCCTGTAGGTCTGTTTACCCTGTGGGTGTCTGGTGCCCACAGAGGTTGGGAGAGGGCATCATATTCTTGAGAACGGCAGTTACAGACTTTTCAAGTTGCCATATGCATGCTGGGAGTTAAACTTGGTTTCACTGAAGGAGCAGTCATGGACCTTAACCACTGAGCCATCTCCTCAGGTTCAGTACTACACTTTTTTATTTGTTTGTTTGGTTTTGGTTTTTTCAAGACAGGGTTTCTTTGTGTAGCTTTGGTGACTGTCCTGGAACTCACTCTGTAGACCAGGCCGGTCTCAAATTCACAGAGATTGACCACCCTGTGCCTCGCAAGTGCTAGGATTAAAGGTGTGCGCCACCACTGCTCAGCTAAGTACTACTCATTTTAAAGAAATGAAATACAAAAACAAATTAGGGCAGAGGTGATAATAAATGAACCAGTTTTGAAAAGGTCAAGAAATGCTGCCAGGTGGTGGTGGCGCATGCCTTTAATCCCAACACTCAGGAGGCAGAGGCAGGCGGATCTCTGTGAGTTAGAGGCCAGCCTGGTCTACAGAGTGAGCTCCAGGACAGCCAGGACTGTTACACAGAGAAACCCTGTCTTGGGAGTTAAAAAAGAAAGGAAAGAAAGAAGGAAGAGAAGGGAAGGGGAGGGGAGGAGAGGGGAGGGGAGGGATGGGAAAAGGAAAGGAAAGAAAGGAAAGGAAGCCACATAAAACAGATGAAGCTTTGAGACTTGTGAGCCAGGCACAGTGGCATATACTGTAATACCAGCACTAGGGAGGCTAAGGCAGGAGGGTAGAGAGTTTGAGTCCAGCTTGGGCTACATAACAGGACTCTGTCTCAAAACAAAAACAAAACAAAACAGAAAAACCGGACTAGGAATATAGACAGGTTTTTGATTGCAGAAAATAGATCTAAAACCAGAATTATGTGCAGCAACACCACACATTTGGCAAACAAGGTAAGAGACTGTAGCAGGCAGACAAGCCTTTACATTTCTAGACTATTCTAAACTTCTTGTTTTGATCTTCAAGTTTGGTATTGGATGATGTAGCAAAAATCTATTTTGGTA